TGTCTTCGTTGTCGTAGGCGATTGTGGTATTCCAAGAAGGAATGAAGAGAAAGCATGAAGATTGGACTGATATAGGGTAGAGAAGCAGAGAAGATGGAGCGGTGGGTCACGGGAGATAAATTAGGGAAGAGTGGACTGATATTGATGGCAGATATTATTACCATATAAATTTCAATACGGCTTTCTTGAAGCATTTTACATTGTACATGGTTCTTAAATGGTTGTACCTCTTATATATATATATATATATATATATATATATATATATATATATATATATATATATATAGGCTTATGTTATTTTGTTTTTACTAATTATTGTGTGCCAGAATGCACAGATCTGGACCACCGGATGGAATAGAATCAAATGTCATGATCTGAGGGTCTATGATATTACAATAGGGTAACATGTACCATATAATCATACAAATTTCAGCATAAGGGCATTTTAGTCAATTAACCTATATTAAAAAAGGAAATTTTTGGGTTTTTAGGGATAATTAATTCCATTATATTTAAAAATCTGAATATTTTAAATTAATTCAAAATTAAAAATCTGGTTTTATTCTGTCAGAATGACAGAATGCCAACCATAAACTAGTAAATATATTTTCGATTTTATTCTTGCAGAATATATTTCCAATGCAGATATTTTTTATAATTAACCTGATTTAAGAATTCTAGATGTTATTCATATACATCCAAGTTGGGTCTATGATTTTATTATTAATACACATCTGAAATAAAATACAAATTCATACATATTCTTACATACTAATATCCTTATACATTTTAATATAGTTATACATATTCTAACATATTCTAACAGAATATCCACTTGATCTTCGCATATATACTTGTTGTTGAACTCGATTCCAAATATTTCTCTTGTATGATCAATATTGAATTTCTTCTCCATGCAATTCTGAAAGAATAAGATACATTACTCATTAGTATTACTTAGTATTACCCGTTAAACAAATATACTTGTTGTTAACAAATATTCTCAAAAGACATTCTAACGGAATGCATTTATATAAATAAATTCTGACATAATACATTAGAGAATGCACTTAAATACATTCAAACATTCTCAAAAGATATTCTAACAGAATGTATTTATATAAATAAATTCTGACAGAATACATTAACATAATGCACTTAAATAACATTTTTTTGCAATCAAAATCCACTTTGCCAAAATCCATGTGAAATTTAGAACCATGTGAATTTTAGTAAAATGATTTCCTATCTACAACCATTAAAATGTATCTTTGATAAAAATTATATTCTATGAGAATGTCATGAAATCAAATTCTAGGCATTTACAATATGTGAGAATTCTGCGATGAAATCAAATTCTAGGCATTCTTGAATGTTTGAACAATCATATCCGCCATCAGAAAATAAGAAATAACAAATTGGGCTGAAAATTTGGCCCGAACAACCCCTGTTGTACTCTTTTGTAGTTTTGCGTAAGCACAACACAGAAAATTAATTTATTGACAAAAAAATCGAATTTTGAGTTTAATAGATTAGAATTGTAACTGCACAACGAACATGAATTTGTAAGAAAAGCTGCAATTTATACAAAAATCGATTACTATTTTATATACAACCCTCTATAGAAATTAATGGAAAGAAAATAAAACAAACCTCAACATAAATATGATTAGAATCGACAAAAGTGCTTTAAGGAGGCAAACTGAGGTTGGCGGTGGCAATTAGTCGGGGATACCCTCGTTGGTTCGCCTGACAGTACTAATAATAATGTGTTGTCTGGTGGTGTTGGAGAGAAAAGGTTGGTAGTCAATGATGGAGGCGTGATTGAAAATTGGAATCGATTGGCATCAAACAAAAATCAGAACAGAAGAAAAACATATTTGCAACTATGGTTAATTGGTCGTCGATGGCAACTAATGATAGATGATGATGACTGAAAACACGAAGGTGTAAACCCAATTGAGAAAGTGAGATACCTATCGGTATATTTGCACATGTGATGGAAGAAGCAGCAGTCGTGCACTGTTGGAGGCACAAGCGACGGTGAAAGAAGCATCAGGTCTTCATTAGGATTTTATGCCCTCTTTGGTGGGTTAATGAATTGGTCGTGGGTAAATTTTATGGGTGGTTTAGTCGACGGAATGAGGGGTTTTAGGGTTAGGGATGTTGGGTTTGTAGAGTTTAACTAATTAAGGAGAGATTAAATGAATTATTTTTTTACCATAATTAGATATACTAATTACCATTATACCATTTTTTAATTTATTTAATGATTTATTATTTCCTCAATTCTCATTAGTGCATACATACACACAATAGTTGTTAGAAACATTTGAACCTAGCTCTCTCTCTCTCTCTTTATATATATATATATATATATATATATATATATATATATATATATATATATATATATATATCTATATATATATATATATAGAGAGAGAGAGAGAGAGAGATAGGTTCAAATGTTTCTCACATCTATTGTGTGCTAGAATGCACCAATAAGAATTTAGTAATAATTATATGTATATTAAATGTTATCCATATTTATAACTCATTTTTATGGAAACTAATTAAAATCGTTATTAATGTCAACAATAATATTCTTTCAGAATGAATTCATATCTAGAAGAATGAGAGTGTATTCCAGCAGAATGAGAGTGTATTCTAGTAGAATATACTCTCGTTCTTCATATTCAATTATAAAATAAATAGATTAGTTGTCAAAATTGTTTTCTTTTAAGCAAGATAACCATATTGCATTTTTATATATAATAAATCATATATTCATATGGTTCCACTTTCCCTTGTGACGTGTGTGCATGTAATATATTTCTTGCAACATAAATCTTTTAAATAAATACACAAGTCTTTTAAATAAATACAAAACTCATCAACATAAAAATTCTTCTATATTATCAAAACAAAGTCATCCATGCGGCTGTTGCATGTAATATATTTCTTGCAACATAAATCAATCCATTTTTACTTGCAAAGGCCAAAAAAATAGAATTTGTTCAACCCCACAAGAAGCAAAGGCAAAATATGTAAAGATGGAATAAGTAAAAACAACACACACAAGAAGGAAGGGAGATGTATTAGAGATAAAAGTTAAAAACAACAAGTAACTGAACATCAATAACAACAAAAATAACATCAAAGGATACAAGGGTGGATATAGAGTTTGATAAACTGTTGAAGCCTGGATAATACTTCCTACTGCAAGTCTCGGGCAAAATGTTACCACTCATATTAACACATTGCCATTACCAAATATGAAAAATAACCAAAAAAAAAAACAATTTCAAGATCATACCTCCATCACTCCCTTCTTCCTCTTCTGCTTAGTTCAAACCATTTAAAGAAACATGGTTGACAATTATTAAATATATGTATAGTTATTAGGCTGAATGAAACATTTTTATGACATTTTTGGTAAAAATTACATAGTAATACACAAATAAGGAGCAATATTCTCTTTTCTCCTTACCTTTGAAGCCATTCTGAAAAAGCTTCTTCAATCCTGCAAAATATGAACTGAGAAAAACAAATTATCATCAACTAATTAATATAAATTAATTCTCTTAAAACTAATATAAAAAATAGACAACTAAGAGAAACATTAAATAGTGATGAGGTTCTGAATCCTTATAAGCATTCTCTTTACCAAAATATAAAAAAGAAATCAAGTATTATATTATCAAACCTCATGGGTTGAACCTTTCTACAAATTGGGGGATTCCTTAAGATCCATCCACCCCAAAATGGCAATATCGAACTAAAAACTAAATGAAGTGAAAAAAAATATTACCTTTCTAAGAGATTGAAGAAACTTAGTATGTTGAACAGATGTAAGGCATAAAGACCATTTATAGATTATGTTTGACTTTGTAAGCCACTTCATTCTTCTTCCTCATTTTTCTGTTTGGATTATCTCAAAAAGATAAAATGTAGTAAGAATCCGACATATAAGCAGGAAAACATATAAAATGCAGAAAAAAAAGAACCTTGTACCTTGGAGTTGTCAAATCAAACCTTCATCAGACATGTTTCCGCAAAAATCTCAAAAGAAAATGTGGGGAAATCTAAAAAAAGTCAAAAATGTACTCTAAAAATGTGAAGATTGAAAATGAAGCACAATAAAAAATGTTTATGAAGAACCCTATGATAATGGTCACTTTCATTTTTTAGATAATACTTGCAAATATCCCACAATCAAACAATGTTTATGAAGATTAAATAGGAAGCACAATCAAAGTTGTACAGATAGTTACCTTTGCTAGTTTAGATGATTATCACCTATCCCTGCAAAAACCAAACCCAACAACAAAAAACTTCAATTTTATTGTCTTCAGGAAGCCAAATCACCAAAAGATTGTTATAATGCCCAACATAAATGAAGTATTTCTGAGAAAGAATAACAAATTAATATACCTAGATCGTGGGTTTAGGGTTATTATCATTGTGAAGCTTGAGTAACAGCAACGAGTGGAGACCAAAAATCAGATATAAGTCTATATAACATATAAGTATATAACCTGGTACGATGATAAGAAACATATATGGAGAAAAAAACACACGAACAAAAAAAGAATACATTAAACTACATCATGAAATTGAATCTTACCGGATATCGTTCAAAATTTCTAGGTTGGTTCCCTTTAGATCCAAACACATCTCTGCTGCATCCTCTCATCAGCCCCGTTCTCTTTTCTCTCTTTTTTTGCTTGATATTTCTTTTCTTTCCTGTTTTTTGTTCAGCCCTAACACAAACAAAGACTATCTGGGAAATAGGATGACGTAATGTATAGTTAAAAACAACTGAAACATGCCAGATACGAGGAAGGAGGATCAACATGAAAGATCTTTGCCTGCATTTTAGGGATTCGAAAAAGTTGGGTCAAAATTTTCGTCGGAGGTAGGACAATGGTGGTGGTGAAGGAGATGAGGTATGGTGGTGGCTGATGATCCTTAGGGTTATTCTAGAGAGCAGAATGAGCATTTGGGGGAGGAGAAAAAGCATGAAGCAGGTGGGTAAAAGGTTATTGTCGATTCAAATTTGTAATTCCCAAGTTAAATGAACAGAGGATGATTTGAAATCTGATTTCAAAATATCAAATTTGAAACCGTGTTTGAGAGCATGAATATATTCAGTTTTGGGGATTCAATGATCACAACATTCTACGGTGTTTGATGGGTTTCAAACTACAAATCATTCCGATAAAATAGGAATTCAAACGAAAAAAAGTGAAGTCAAAATCAAGACTCATCAAAAATCAAATATGTTGCATTTGCAGGTTGTATATTCAACTTAAAGGTTTGGACGATTTCAAATTTAATATTATTTTATTGATGATTATTTGTACTATCTGTTTAATGGTTTGTACGTCTTAAAATATATATATATATATATATATATATATATATATATATATATATATATATAGAGGTTTAAGTTCTATGGAAAACAAAAAACCCTAAAAATCATAAAAATGCATAAAAAAGATACTTAGAGATCACAAAACTTTTTTTTGAATTTTTTTATGAAAAAATCGCTGCTTTTAATACAAAATCGCTGAAATTTTTTTTGAAAAAAAACCTCTTTTTTTTTTATAAAAAAAAATTGATTTTTTATTTTTTTTTCAGCGATTTTACTAAAAAAGTTGCGATTTTTTCATAAAAAAATTCAATAAAAAGTTTTGTGATCTCTAAGTATTTTTATGCATTTTATGATTTTAAGGTTTTTTTAGGGTTTTTTGTTTCCAAATAACCCTTCCCTATATATATATATATATATATATATATATATATATATATATATATATCTATATATATATATATATATATATATATATATATATATATATCTATATAATAATTATTATTATTTTTTGCGCGAGGGAGGAATCTTGTAATCCACTCTTTTAAAAATTCAGACACTTCATCCTAACTTTCATCTACAAATAATTTCGTTCCCTCAAGAAAACCCTTTTAACACAAAAGCCCTAAAACCTCAATTTAAATCGATTACTCCAATCAGGATTGTAACCTAATCATCATCATGTAAGTAATCGTTTCGCCAGGCTTCGATGAACATCAACTATTCTATGAATCACTTGTACAACTGAGAATCGACAAATTTCATATACTGAATCTGCTTACACTGTTTCTGATTGAATATTGATTGATTGATTGATCGAGTTCGTTTTTTAGGTCAGAAGACGAAATTGCGATAGAAGCAATAAAGCATGCTTTGAAGGCTCTTCGGAAGCGGCATCTGCTGGAGGAGGGAGCTCACGGACCTGCTATTATAGCTCTTTCTAAACCTATTGCTTCTCAGGTTCCCTTTCTGTACTCAAATGCACACATATACTGCAATCTTGGATTTTTTTTTTTCCTTTTCACAACTTGTTTGTGTTCAGATGCATTTTAATTGTCTGACAGTTTTGTAAACATTCAAGGAGTTAATGTGAATTTTATCAAGAACGTTATGGCTATAGCAATTGTTCATATATAATATTTACATGCTTTAAATTTATTTGGAAGGAAAGCAGACAATAAGGTGTCAAAAAGGTTTGTGGAAAGTTAAAGTGTCTTGGTATGCCAATCTGATATAACTGATTTTCTTTATATATGCAACATGAAGGGTTCAGAATGGAAGGATAAAGCAGAAACTCTTGAATTGGAACTTCAGCAATGTTACAAAGCTCAATCTCGATTATCTGAGCAGCTTGTGGTGGAAGTGGCCGAATCTAGGGCTGCAAAATCTTTAGTCCAGGAGAAAGAAGCCTTAATTCCTAATCTTGAAAATGACCTTTCTCAAGCAAGGTTCTCCCCTTTCCTTCTGTGTGGTTTAATTCACAATAATATTATCTTGATGACTGTTATGCAGGGATGAATGTTCTCGCTTGGCTGCACTTCTAGAGGAAAAGACTAAAGGCCTAGAATTGCTTATGGGTGAGAATAAGGAACTGAAATCTCAATATGAAGAGATGAGAGCTAGAGCTATCAATGCAGAGACTGAAAACAAGACATTGATTGATCGGTGGATGTTGCAGAAAATGCAGGATGCTGAACGCCTTAACGAGGTATATGCTTTAGTTCTTGTTTCTTTTTTACTTAATTTGCTTCAGACTCTTCATTCATATTTATATTTAAATTTATATTTTCAGGCGAATGCTTTATATGAAGACATGCTAGGTAAGCTCAAAGCCAGTGGACTCGAACAACTAGCAAGACAACAAATAGATGGCGTAGTCCGCCAAAGTGAAGAAGGAGCCGAATACTACGTGGAGTCCACCATACCAAACACCTGCAACCACCGGATCCCCGCCCACGAAGGCGGTTGTGCTTCAATCCTCTTCGAAAACACTTCCGGGAAATTACTCACCGGAGGACAAGACCAAACTGTTAAAATGTGGGACACAACAACCGGTCAACTCACTAAAACCTACCACGGTTGCATAGGATCCATCCTTGATCTCACCCTTACAAATGACAACACGTGTCTAATAGCAGCAAGCAGCTCCAACAACTTATACGCATGGGACACAAATACGGGTCGTGTTCGCCACACCCTCACAGGTCATAAAGATAAAGTATGCGCTGTTGATGTCAGCAGATTCTCTAATCGCCATGTCGCCAGCTCAGCGTATGACCGGACAATCAAGATATGGGATCTTAACAAAGGGTATTGTGTCAACACGATTATCTTCCCGAGTAATTGTAATACTTTGTCTTTCACGCCAGATGGACAGACGATTTGTTCGGGACACATGGATGGGCATTTAAGGTTGTGGGACATGAAGAGTGGGAAATTATTGAGTGAGGTTGCGGCTCATTCTCTTGCTGTGACCTCTATTTCTCTTTCTAGAAATGGGAATACAGTGTTGACAAGTGGGAGGGATAATTTGCATAATTTGTTTGATACGAGGACTCTTGAAGTAATGGGGACATTGAGGGCGAATGGGAATAGAGTTGCTTCTAATTGGAGTCGATCTTGTATTAGTGCTGATGATAATTATGTTGCTGCTGGATCTGTTGATGGTGTTGTTCATGTTTGGTCGATTGCCAAGGGTAATATTGTCAGTACACTTAAGGAACATACGGGTTCCGTTTTGTGTTGTTCTTGGAGTGGAATTGGGAAACCGTTGGCTACATCGGACAGGAATGGAATCGTTTGTTTGTGGGCATAAGAACGGAATCACTTTTGTTTGTACATATATGGTTCTGTTATTTTCATTCGTACATTTGTTATATGAACAAGTTGATGGATTTATCATTCAAGTTTAAACAAGATTTGATTACAAAAAACTGCATCTTTGATTACAAAATAGCTACCATATAAAACTTTATAGCAGGTAATGGAAGTTTATTACAGGCTCACTTCAATTTCTACTACTTATGGGAGTTTTGTTGTTGAAGACTGAAAAGAGAAAAGTAAGCACCTTCTTTACCTTTAGCTAACAGATCATCATGAGAACCTTCTTCTACAACTTTTCCATTATCAATCACTGATATTTTATTCGATCTTTGAATTGTAGACAATCGATGAGCTACAATCACACATGTCCTACCAACCATGGTTTTCTCAAGAGCATCTTGAACAAGTGCCTCTGATCTCAAATCCAAAGCACTTGTGGCCTCATCAAGAAGTAAAATAGCTGGATTTTTCAAAATTGCTCGAGCAATAACGATTCTTTGCTTCTGTCCACCTGATAACTGCACCCCTCTTTCACCACAGTAAGTCTCATACCCATCTTTCATTGAACTTATAAATTCATGGATATTTGCTAGATTTGCTGCTTGGATTATCTCGGCTTCTGTTGCATTCTCTTTCCCATAAGCAATGTTTTTTTTTATTGTTTCTGCAAACAAAGTAGGCTCCTGACTAACCCATGCTATAAATGACCTTAACGCCCTCAGATTGTAGCGGATAATATCCACTCCATCAACTTCCACAGACCCTTTACACGGGTCAAAAAATCGCTGGATCAACCCTATAATTGTTGACTTTCCAGATCCACTTGTTCCAACAAGTGCAACAACTTCACCACCATTGATCTTTAAACTTAGACCTTTAAGTGCCATCTTTGTGGGTCTGCTTAAATAAAAAAAATCCACTTCTTTCAGTTCTATACGCCCTTCTACCCTTTCAGGCATTATCATGTCTTGTTTTGGAGTCTGCATTTTGCCTTCTCTTTTTAGAATCATAAACAAGGATTCTAAAGCGTTTTTTCCCAATGACAAATCCCCAGTCATACTCCCGGTTTCTGCTATTATCATCCCTGCTGACACCACAATGTAGAATGTCTGAAAAAGGTGTTTGAATGTTATATCTCCCTCATAAAGAAGCCTTCCTCCATACCAATATAAAATGGCAATATTGATATTAGTTAAAAATGGTCTAGCAAACAAAGCCATTCCTTGATACCAATTCTTCTTATCACTCTCCATTTTTCGACCTTTCTGTGTCTCTTCAAACAGCCTCATAACCTGCTCTTGCGAATGATACGCGGTGATAACTCTATGGTTGTTAACCGCTTCACTTGCTATTTCACTGCTCTTGTTCTCGGTTTCCGTTGTCACAAGGGCTTTTAGGTAAAAACACACGATGATGACTAGCTGTAAGGAAACAGCAACAAGAGCAAGTTTCCAAGACAAAATCATACTCAAAATAACAGCTGAAATGGAAGCCGAGATTGCTTGTGCAAAAAACGCCAATCGATCTGCTACGAGGTTTCGTACCATGATTGTGTCTGTAGCAAGTCTCGAACATAATGCTCCCGTGTTGTTGTTTTCTTGATAAAACCACTCGATTTCAAAACTCATGATCTTTGAAAACATCGACTCTCGGACACGTTTCGTTAAATTCTCACCCATGATTCCAAAATAGTAATGCTGGATCACACCGATGATGAAAGAAGATCCAGCAATGGCTAGAAAAATGTAGCATAATGTTGTTGTTTGAGACCGGATTTCATCATGGTTGTTTAGAAAGAAGATGGAAAGCATTGCACCCTGAAAAAACGCGAGTAATGGTTGAATTAATCCGTTAAGTAAAGCACCTATACAACCAATTAGAGCCGATTTCCATTCAGGAACATTCATCCGAATCAATTCTTTCCATGATAGATTCCTATCTTTTTCAAGATAAGAACTATCTACTATCAGTCTCGTTTTCTCTCTTCTCATTGATAAACCATCATCATCATCATTATCATCATCTAATGTCTTAATTTTGGTTTCTTGAGATGGTGATACAGTCTGACCATTGACCGACAATGTGTTCTGTAGTTGGACCATGGTTGAATATGGTCCATGAGTGTTCGAAACAAGTTGGTTATGTGATCCGGACTCGATTACTTCACCTGATTGCATTACGAAAATTACATCTGCATTATCGAGGGTAGATAAACGATGTGCAATGATTAGTGTTGTTCTTCCAATTGAAGCTTGAGTTAAAGCCTGTTGTACAGCTTTTTCAGAATGTGAATCTAATGAACTTGTGGCCTCATCTAAAAGCAAGATTTTTGGATCTCGAAGTAGGACCCGCGCAATTGAAATCCGTTGCTTCTGCCCTCCCGACATTTGAGTTCCTAATTCTCCCACCTAAGAAAACAAATCAGAAGATAAACTAAACACACAATCAAACTTAAAGAAAGTTATAAGAAGGTGATAAGTGCTCAGTGGCTCAGTGCTCACTTACCTGTGTGTCATAACCTTTGGGTAGTTGCGTGATGAATTCATGAGCATTTGCTCTTTTAGCTGCTTCTACAATCTCTTCACTTGTGGCATCTTCTTTCCCGAATAGAATATTTTCTCTGATTGATGTGGCGAAAAGTATAGGATCCTGGCTCACTAACCCGATTTGTCTACGTAACCAATTTAACTTGAGCGACTTTATGCTGATGTCATCTAACAGAATCTCTCCCTCAAGAGGATCATAGAATCTTTCAATCAGATTTATCACTGTTGACTTACCTGACCCACTGCTACCAACCAATCCAACAGTTTGACAGGGCTTCACCTTTAAGTTGAATTTCTTTAAAACCAAGCTTTCAGGTCTTGATGGGTATGCAAAATACACATCTTTGAACTCCAATTCACCTTTGATTGTATCTATGGTTGTCCCCTGTTGATCTTCAGAATCTATGGTTGGGATTCTTTCAATCATTTCACTAATCACGGCTGCTGAAATACTTGCTTCTGCAAAGTACTTGATGTTCATGAAAGAACTTCCCAATCCACTGCAAATTAGTGATCAAACCATTATATTATACTAAAATGGCAAAATTTAAAAAAACCAAAATGGTCTTATACTTACAATCCTCCATAGATAACACAAACTCCCGCGCTAAGAATATCACCACCTTTCAACCCCTTGTCAATGACCAAAACGCCCCCGTACCAGCTTAAAAGCGCCCAAATTGCGTATATAACTCCAACACTTCCAAACACTATCCCTTTCAGTAAACCTTGTTCAATCCCAAGACTCAAAGTGGGTCCTAACGCGGTTGAAAACCGGTTCACCATTTTTTCCTCTCCAACATACGAATGAACTGTCTTTATTGATGAAAAAGCCTGCTCTGCAACCCCACCAGCAACCGCATAAGCTTCTTGTAGCTTCTCTTCATTGCTTGATAACCGCTTTCCATAAATTGACCCTGGAAGAATCAACAAAAACATCGCGGGGACCGCCACAATCGCCAATCTCCAACACAAATACATACCCGTTATCTCAGCCGCTATAAACATCCATATATTTGTGATAAAATTTGGAATCTGTTAAAAAAATGTCATCAAATTGTATTAAATTAAGGATAAATGTCATCTTATTGGAAAAGAAACCCACATGTGCCCTTAAACTAAAAGTATATAACGCTAAAGAACATGTTGAAATCTTAGAGAAATGGATCGATCACCTTTTCACTAACGACTCCGTGTAGATTTATCATATCGGTTGAAATACTTGTAGTTACACGTGATGCTTCAAGTGTTGTGTCAAAGTATCCTACTTGTTGGCGTAAAATAGCTTTTAAATATCTGGTGCGTATACGGGATGATTGCCTCTCTGCTGTTCGACCCCAACAAAATCCCTCTGTTTAATGTCAATCCATGTTAAATGTCTATTTTTGATGACGAGGAGGGCATTCACGTCTTTTGCACAAACGAGCAATTATTTATCCCACCCTTTTGGGTGGGACAAAAAATAACAGTATCGTCCCATTGACAACCGACTCAGTCTTGGTCTAAACACAGTACAACCTGTTATGTCCTAGACTGTGTATCAAACGGGCCCACCTTACCTAGAAAAGCACCTGCACCCACAACAATAGCGATGTAGATAAACGCAAGAGCGTACTGCAAAACCGATGGATGTGGTGGTTAGCTAATAGCATTCTACATCGTGTATAGTTAATTTGCTGACATGGACAACTAACCTTATTTACATCTGCGGGTGTTAAAGAAGAAACCGAAGCATAAACATTCATCAAATGACTGAAAACCAACATCATTATAGACACACTTAATCCATCTACAAAGCACCCACATGTTCCCAATGCCATTAGAACCATGTCACTCCAGTCGGCATGTTCAAATAACATCCCTAATAATCCACGTGACACCTTCTCTTTCTCATCGCTCTCAGGTTTGCCTGATGATCCATTAATCTCCTTCATTTCTTGATCAAATTTGTCCATCTTTTGGTCTGATGCATGCCGTGAATCATAGCTTGTTTTTATGCATATTTTATAGCTTAAATGTGTTTAGGACAAAAGTTTATGACCTGGATTTTAATTTTAAAAGGTGGTCAGCCGTAAGATGATTTATGCTAACAGACGATGATTTCGCTATTAGAAGTATCTATCAATATACATAATATTATTACACTTTGGGTTGATCAACATTGTTGATTAGTAATCATCTTTTTGGCTTTATTCTGTGGTTAAAATCTCTTTCCAAAATTATTGTTGCTTGTTGCTTGGCACCTAGCTTGTGTCTACATCTTGTGTTATGTATGAATCTTAAATGATGATGACAATGCTATTTTAGGCTGTGTTTGTTACACTAAAGCGTGATTGGATTGGACATGTGTGGACTTAACTAGACAAGCTTTTGAGGATTATTTCTAATGAATGTCTTTTGCATAGACAAATAGACAAGAGATTAAGAGAGTCCATGTTCCACCTTGATTCTCTATTTCGGTGGGATAAAAAGTTGCAACTTTCTGTCTCAATCTCATGCCAGTCTAATGCAAGTCAAAAACATTACAAGGTCATCCTATTATGATATATCACATGTTTTCTTGT